CCCCCCTGGTTCACAAAATTTGAGTTCGAGAAATTTTTTTCATTATTTTACATTATAAGTACCCAAAGAAGCTATATATATAAAAAACAGATACAAATAGGTGTTTTGCGAAATTGAGAGCAATTTCAAATCTGTTCAGTTTTTTTTTTTATACACCCTGTATAACAAAATCGACTGTAAATATAGATAATAATTTTGTAAATGTAATATGACATTGTAAAGCGCTTAGGACAACAATGTATAGGCGCTATATAAATATCATCATTATTATTATTATTGCTTATTATTTCGCTTACGTAAAGCTGTTTGCTCAGCTTTGCAAATTCTTTTCTCGTCCTCAGAACCACTAGCGAGCTTGTCCGAGAGATATTCATTAACTAAGTCTCAACCAGTGGGAGATTTGTCCACCTGCCAAATGAGCTTGTTTTGTCACTTGATTAGCTTTGAAAGTTCATCAAGGCTAATAGTAGCTTGAGGAATGTTCTTACGCTCCAGTGCTTTCGACACTAATGCAACTTGATCGGCCTAACCATGATTGAATTTGTGCTGTTGCTTATTACCTTCGTATCGAAAGGTCAACTCAGATGTTTCTTTTAGTTTCTTTGCTGCTAGATCTGTCGAACTATGACCTTCTTCTTTCAAATCGACAAGTTTTTTGTCCAAATAGTCTTTGAACAAAGTAAAAGCTGCAGCTGTATCTGATAACTCATTAGTAGATGATGTTTGAACTTGGGATTCTCCAGCAGGAAATTTGTCGTCTATATCTTGCAATAACTGGTCTTCTAATAGCGATTCAGGTTCCATAGAGGATCGATTTTCAACTTTAACATGCAGCTGAGAGACGTTGGACGCGAATGACTTTAATCCCTGCTATTGCTTATTATATACACCCGTATACCACGCTACTCAACCATACCTAATCATATGCATATACGCACCGGTTATGTAACAATAATAAATACATTAACTATCTATGCTCTGCAAAAAAATAGGGAGAAAACATTTTACAGGAACTGAATATATGCAAACGTGTATTCTTTTAGACAGTGCAAATATGTAAAATTTACTCACTGGTATATATATTTACCAAATTTTAGTTAAATAAATAGTGAATAAACATAATATAATTAAATTTTAAGATAATGAAATAATGTAATTTTACTTGGCAGAATATTTTTTTTAATAGTTCCTTTCATTACTTTCTTTAGGTTGCATTTTTTGTCAATAAAACTTTATAAAACTCTGCAATCATTAAAACTGATTTGCATATAACACACAAAAAGACTATTATTATTTTTGACTATTTCACATCTACCGCTTGTCATGCTAGCGACAACTAACAACCAAATGGAAACTAGGCTTAAACGCCCAAAACACAAGTTTTTCCATGAGGTTTTCATTTAAGCCTTCTGAGTTTTCTAACAAGACATGCACAAGTCTACGTCCATAAGGATCCTGTGGAACTGACAGCCTTCCACGCAAGTCCCTTTTCACTTGCAGAAAAATGTTTGCTTCATATACCATCTGTTGTGCAGCTCGCAAACACTCGATTCCGATGTGCCTTGTCAGAAAAGTGGAAAGATGTGTGGACTCTTGGCTTTGTTTGTATATGCGCATTGTGTTTTCTGTTTCAGGGCTGTCTGAATGAGGCATATGAATTCTGATTGTGTTGCTGTGAGTGGCCAAGTTTGCTAGATTGGTGTCTTGGTCATCTGGTGACAGCGTAATCTCGCAGGAATCACTGTCGCACACATGGAGAGACTGTTTTCACATGTGTAGCAGGTTGTGTTCGGTGGGAATTGCTTTCGGGATTTTCCAGGAACTTAGGAGTGGGTCGTGTAACACGCTTTTGCTCTTGGAGGAATTGTTCAAAGACCTACTCTATAATTTAATGCCTGTTCGACACCAGTTTTTATTTACTGTTTTTGTTAACAGTTTAATATAAATATTTTAATTGATGTATGTATGTTTGATCTATATTTACATACTACTGGGTCATTCCAGAAAAGATCCATACTCTCCCACAGAGGAAATGTTTGTTGTCGGGATGGGGAGGGAAAAAACTTTATTTCCAATAATGGTAAGTGTATTGGGTCATTCAAAGTGGGGAGGGGGTCAACTTTCAATTTCCTCTGTTGCCTGTGGGGGAGGTATGGATGTTTTCTGTTACGACCCATTTTACCAGATATTTACATTCTTATATATTCACACTATATGAGAGACATTCTTGTAAAAACATAGTAAAATCAACATATAAGGTCATGCATGCAAAACATACATATGTCTTCCCTTTGGCCCAGTTCACAAAAGCAAATTTGATTTCATAAATGTAAATTTGTGTGAACAGGTCTTACTTTAGAAGCTATTCAACTGAAACAACAGACTTGCAACAATTAACAAGAGCACAAGATACTAAGGCTATCTTATCAAGCAAGCATGGTTCCCCATTGTCAGATTTCAGATAGTCAATTGGAGCTATTCCATGTCCAAGGATGGTGTACTTTTGACGTACACAGCCTATCACCCTTTCTACATGTATTTTGACATTTGCTATGGATCTTATAGCTTCAACAAATACAGGTGACAACTGAGGTTTACCTTTAGTGAAACAAGGGGATTCTCAATATGGCACAGTAAAGACCACAGCTGTCCTCAATAACAAAGCCCCTATCAGCAAAGACCATGTCGCCAGGTAATAATTTCTGCAACAGACCACAATGTTCAGTAATATATTTATCTGATACCCTACCACCCCATGCATTGGATATGAATGACACTGTGCCCTGTGGTGTCACACCGATTAAAAATTTAGCTGTGTTGTGACTTTTGTATGAAGACCATGTTTGTGCTCGGACTAGTAAATCAGAAGGGCGATCAATGAATACTTCAAAACAGTCAAGTATTATAGAACATAGGTCGTGTCAGATTTAGTTCCTGTCTTGTCGGCCAATAAATCAGAAAGTTTGTGCTAGAGTGCATGACATTGATGCAATTGTGAAACACTCTTGACATTGTTGAAGCATGAACTCCAAATCTATATGCAAGGTCTGGAACAGATAAATTCAAATGAAGTCGCATTAAAGTGAGTGAAAATTGTTGAAATTTAGTTAATGAGTTTCGAACCACAAGTCCAGGCTTTATCAGTTCAAATAAAACCATCACAACTGCCAATTCAGGAAGCCCAGTGTAAAATTTAACCTTCTCGTTATCTCCTTGGAAAAATGCTTCACTTGCAAAATTGTCTTGGCTTAAATTCTTGGTAGATCTGTATATAAGCAGGTCTATGTCAACCATAGTCTTATCAGTCTGTATTTTGCTTGCAAAAAGGTTGGTAACAGGTATGCTTTTCTTAAGTTTTTGGTCTTCGTCACTGTTGTTAGCAAAATCAATGTCTGGTTCATTGTTTTTCAGATTATACACAGCTGCCTCCTGTCATGGCGGCAAATTTAAATTTGTTGCAATAGTCATGTGACCATGCAAAGCCTCTATAAATTTTAGAATTATGACATCTTCTTTCAGTTGCAATAATTTAAATTGTTGCATTACCAAGGAATGTTTTCATGTGGGTGAAAGGAAGTCAAAAAGTTTTGAGATTCAGAACTGATCATTCCTAACTGTATCTAAATTGTTCCTGAGCAAATCATTCCTGAACAAAGTTATATATTGCACCCTAATGTGACCTAATCTGTCCAATGCTAGGTGAATTTATGTGTCAAGGAGACTAGGAGAGACCAATACAGGTACATATAGAAATCTTATTATCTTTCCTTGAAAAGTTCAAGGTTTGTGGTATGAAACACTTGTCAGAATGTTCAAATAAAATTAAAATAGCTTTTGCCCATATACTTTATGAATGCTCCCTAAGAATTTTTTTAAAAATAAAATAACAATAATAATTATAAAATAACAATTTAAATTGCAAATATTTAATTAAATATGATATTCATTTGTCAATTGTGGAATGTACAATTTGTACAATGGTACACCCTCCCCCCAGTGTTTTCTTTTCTTCGGGGACACTTAATGCTTATGTGCCCCCTCTCCCGGCACACCCAACATACCACTCCTATAATGATGAAATATATATTATATACATTTTTTTAAATAAATAGCAATTAGAACAACATTAGAATAGAATTTCTAGTTGCCTAACCAGATGAAGCAAAATTAATTGATTCATATTATCAAATTATACAATATGGCAGAACTAAATTTTAGACAGGATCTTAATTACATCCTTAACACATTGAGTGGCAGCACTCTCCACTTGACAAGTAAAATCATCTGGCACTTAGAGTAAAGTAAGGCACATTACCATGTAAAAGATTAATAGGATGCATTAGCCAATCATGTGATTATCCGTCGACTGGGTGTTCCCCTTGACATCAACAAAATCATCTGGTGTTACAGTACATTAAAAAGGTAGGGCTCGCCTCAGTGCATTGCCGCTTAAAGGGTTAACATTACTATTAAAATTGACAATTGATTGTGAAAAGTGCATACTTGCTTGCTTTGCATGCTTTGGCTTGGTGATCAGAAAAAAAGTCACATGGGTAACTGCATTTCTGATCAGTCTTATAATACTATATATATGATCAAAATCATTAAATGTACCTTTCTTATCCTCTTCTTCCTTATATTCCAACTCTGCAGGAGGCATGTCATCATCGGGTTCTAAAACAAAGCAATTTGTTTTAATGCAACCATATGGTTATATAAATGCAACCATACCACATATGGTATGTAAATTTGGTTACCATGAAAATCAAGGACAACGTTTACTGACTAGTATATTTACTGGTCCAAAGTCCGAACAAGTTATGGTGTTTATTACATACCAAATCTGTCATTCTTTTCTGTTGCCACTATAAAAAACATACAGGTATTACTATTTATAGTCATAAAATTTGACATAAACAGAGTGAAAAAAAAACATAGGTCGCCAACATAGAAGAATACTTTTGAAAATATATTTGTTGTAAATATTATTGTGTTATTCACAATTATGGATTATTTCGCATATAAATATAAACCGACGACATTGCAAAATAATTCTTGAATCTTGGGACTTACTTTTTCGAGTATAGAAAAGTATAATGACAAAAGTTCACTACTTAAAACCTCAATACCGGTACCGGAAAGGTGTAGAGTGTTTGCATGCCGACTCCAATAATAAAAACGGTAATAAATTAATATTTGCATACCAGGTTTTAATTGACAAACATTGCGGGCAACTTTTGACAATGATACGAGACAGTTTACCTTCTTTCCGCAACAGAGCTGCAGGCTTATCATGTCTCTTATTCTCTGCCCTATAGGTTTTCCATTGGCTAACCCTTCACATGCTTCCTCGACATTATTGACAATATCAAAATAAACCTGGTTGTCTTTAATGTCTACAATGCATTTGTGGATGTAAGCGGTCAGGATTCCGACACTTTTGTACGCGTTCTTGGACGCCTTCCTCAAAGTCATCTAAGCCATTCTTATCAGCCTTAAATTTATTCTACAAAAGTTAGAAGAAACGAGTAAACTTTATGATACCGGCTTCCAACACATAGGAAATAATTGTAATAGCTAATACGGTATTTTTGTTGGCACAGTTGATCATGAGGCAGGTATAGCAGGTTAATTTTTCTTAAAGACAATTACTTACTTATCTTCTAATTTGTCGAGGTTTGTTGTAATAATTTGCACAGTTTTGGGACTCAACAATGTTTTGAGCGTTGCACTGCCACACTTGACATGAAATAAAAAAATAGTTAGCAATAATGAGATTTTTGTATATATTTCTTTGGATTATTGCATGGTGATTTAATAATAAATTAACAGTGTTTAATAGTGCATAATATACTTTGATACTTCTCAACTGTCATTGGTTGATTTCAGTGTATTTTATATCATCTGTAATTGCACTGCAAAAAGTGTTGTTGCTGAATGTGTATATGATCGTTTAAATTTTCTTGCAATATGATGTCGTTGTTTTACAGTGCCATGATCTTTTGAACTTTGAAGGTCGTGTCAGGATAACATTTTTCACGAAACATCTCAAAGTATATTATTAACAAGTATTAGTATAATTACATAGGTGATTATTGAAAATTCTCCACACTGATTGGTTGCCGTTGAGGTGATTATAACACGATAATTACCTAAGCAATTTTTGAAATGGCGGTCGAAGCCGTTTTGTCAATTAAATGATGAAAAAATGTTTACTTTAAAATCCCCCCCCAGATAATCACCTATGAAATTATACTAAAACAATTATTCACCTCAGGCTCGGTGATTATCATAAATTTATTCACTGATAATCACCTTGCCTTCGGCGAATTATTGTTAAATAACACTCGTGAGTTTTTTAAAGACTAAAATAGACAAATAACATGTCTATTTTGCATGACTTTAAATTA